GTTGGACCTTATACACACGGATGTGTGTGGACCATTCAAACATGCCACAAGAGATGCTAATCGTTATTATTTGACTTTTACTGATGATTACAGTAGATATGGATATGTCTACTTAATCAAGCATAAGTCAGAGACTTTCGAGAAGTTTAAGGAATTTAAACAGGAAGTCGAGAATCAATTGGGCAGAACATTAAGATGCTTCGATGATCGGGGTGGTGAGTATCTTAGTTCAGAGTTCCTCGACTATCTAAAGGAATGTGGGATTGTCTCACAATTGACACTCCCAGGACACCGCAGTTGAATGGTGTGGCTGAGAGGCGTAATCGAACCTTGTTGGACATGGTTCGTTCCATGATGAGTCGAGCTTCGCTACCAATCTCATTCTGGGGGTATGCTTAGAGACTGCCGCCCATATCCTTAATCTAGTCCCTACAAAGAAAGTTGCCAAAACTCCTCACGAGATGTGGACTGGTAAAGTACCTAAACTAGACCACATCAAGATTTGGGGCTGCGAGGCTTTCGTGAGACGCGAGACTCATGATAAGCTGAACCCCGAAGCGAGAGGTGTATTTTCATCGGCTACCCACAACAATCCTTTGGTTACCTCTTCTACAGACCTAGTGACAATGTGGTCTTTGTAGCAAGAAGAGGAGTCTTTCGAGAAAGAGAGTTTATAAGCCAAGGAGACAGTGGGAGGCAAGTTGATCTTGAAGAAATTCAAGAGTCAAGTGGTGAAGGAACTTCAAACTCTAGCCCTCAACTTGAGGAGGAAACTCCTGTTGAGCCAATTGACGAATCTGTACCTCTGAGGCGTTCCACGAGAGTTAGGAGTGCACCTGAGCATTACTATGGATTCCATATTACTGCAGAAGGTGAGACACTTATTAGTGATGAGACACTAGTAAGTCAAGATGACCCTAACAGCTATGAGGAAGCCATGGCAGGCCCCGAGTCTGCTAAATGGAAAGAGGCTATGGATAGCGAGATACAATCCATGTATGACAATCAAGTTTGGAACTTGGTTGAGAATGTACCAGGTCGAAAGACTGTAGGGTGCAAATGGGTCTTCAAGAAAAGACCGACATGGATGGTAAAGTACACACTTATAAGGCTAGACTGGTTGCAAAGGGCTTCTCTCAAATTCCTGGAGTGGATTATGATGAGACCTTTTCTCCGGTAGCCAAGATTAAGTCTATTCGGGTTCTGTTAGCCATAGCTGCATTTCATGACTATGAAATTTGGCAAATGGATGTCAAAACCGCTTTCCTTAATGGGAAGCTGGCTGAAGATGTTTACATGAGTCAGCCAGAGGGTTTTGTCAGCAACGAGTACCCTAATAGAGTGTGTAAGCTTGAGAATCCATTTATGGATTAAAGCAAGCACCTCGCAGATGGAATCTTTGCTTTGATGAAAAGGTCAAGGAATTTGGCTTTTCTAGGAGTGAAGATGAATCTTGTGTATATGTCAAGGCTAGTGGGAGTATAGTTAGCTTTTTGGTATTGTATGTGGATGACATACTACTCATAGGAAATGACATTCCAACCCTGCAGGAAGTAAAGTCCTGGCTTGGAAAGTGTTTCGCTATGAAGGACCTTGGTGAAGCTGCCTATATTTTGGGGATAAGGATCTTGAGAGATCGGAGTAAAAGACTAATTGGACTTAGTCAAAGTACCTACTTGGAGAAGGTTCTGAAGAGATTCAAAATGCAAGACTCCAAGAAAGGAGAGTTGCCCATCCAGAATAACGCCAAACTGAGTAAGACACAAAGCCCTAGCACTGAGGCTGAGATAGCAGAAATGAGTCGAGTACCTTATGCTTCGGCTGTAGGTTCGATCATGTATGCTATGACGTGTACTCGACCTGATGTAGCCTTTGCCTTGAGCATGGTTAGCAGGTTTCAGGGGAACCCTGGCAAGGCACACTGGACTGCGGTAAAGAATATTCTCAAGTACCTACGAAGGACTAAGGACTG